GCTAGTCTCGCACATGCGTCCGCTTTTGTATCCGTCATCGACCCAACAAACCATCATTCAGTTGTCATCGACTCAGCCGCCTCTCACCACATGATCAGAAATCGCAACATGTTCTCCACCTTCAGCCAAGAACCAGTAATAATCAAAACTGGAAATCCCAACTCTCCTCTGCGAGCAACTGGCTTTGGTCGAGCCATGATCAAGATTGGAGGGAAGAACATCGTTCTTGAAGATTGTTTGCTTGTTCCAGAAATTTCACAGCAACTTATCTCCCTGGTTAGATTGATTGGAAATTCAATTACTATAGAGAAGAACGGTTCCCAATTCAAAATCCTTGAGGGCATCAACGTCCTGTTTGAAGGAAATATCATCGACAATCTCCTTCATTGCTCGATCGACAAAAAACCTCGAGTTTCAGCAACTTGACGTCAAAACGGCTTTTCTCAACGCAAATTTGGAGGAAGAAGTCTTCCTCTCAATTCCTCAGGGGGTACCGGTTGACAAGAAAAAATTCTGTCTCAAACTCAATAAGGCCATTTATGGCTTAAAACAAGCTCCCTTGGCCTGGTATAATCGTCTGTCGTCATGGCTCGTCTCTGTAGGATTTACATCATCTATTGCCGATCCTTGCGTATTCTACCGACTTGGATCCAACCCCGTCTGGCTCTTTATTCACGTCGATGATATTGCCGTATTTGGAAAAGATCTCACAGCATTCAAAACCGAGATCAAGAGCGAATTCGACATGAAAGATCTGGGCAAAGCAGATCTTTTATTGGGCATCAAAATTCACCACAACGCCACGGCCATCGTTCTCTCACAACGTCACTACGTCCACTCTCTTCTCGAACTGTATGGGATGAGTAACTGTCAATCTGTTGCGACACCTCTAGTCCCGAACAGTCAACTTGAAAAGGCCACTGCTGAAGAAATCGATCGCTTCAACAGCCTGGGTGTTAACTTCCGCAGTGCGGTTGGGGCGCTCAGCTACCTCAGCTCTGCAACCAGGCCTGACATCTCTTACGCGGTCAGTAACTTATCGCAATTCTTGGAAGCTCCCGGCACCATCACTGGGAAGCTTTCATCCATGTGCTGAGGTATCTATCAGGAACCCAAGACCATAGCCTTGTCTACCCAAGAGGATCGAGGTCTCCCCTGACTGGCTACACAGATGCCGATTGGGGCAACTGTCCGGTCACTCGACGCTCGGTGACTGGGTACCTATCTCAATTCAATGGACACCTCATTGGTTGGCAGACTAAAAAGCAACCAGTCGTGTCTTTGTCCTCGTGTGAAGCCGAAGATCGAGCACTTACCGACTTTTCTTGCGAACTCCTCTGGATCAGACAGTTCATTCGCGAAGTTGGATTGGTAGATGATGACACTGCGACGGTCATACATGAGGACAACCAAGGCTGCATAGCGACAGCAAATTTTGATGCAAATACGAACTCAAAGCGTATGAAGCACGTAGAAATACAGCTTCACTTTATAAGGGAAGTCATAAAGAACGCAAAAATTGTTCTAAAATACACTCCAACAAATCAAATGCTGGCCGATTTCCTCACTAAAGCCATCCCTCGCCCCGCTCTCATCAAATCTCTCGAATCATTAGGCTTATTTCGCCTAGAGGGAAGGGGGGGTGTTGAAGTCTGAACACAATCGTGCTCAACTTACGATCCCTCTAACCTCATAACCCTCTGACAACACGCTCAAACCTATGACATCATGTGATGTCATCTGGCTCGAGCCCCGTCCAAACACACAGCAAAACCCATCATCTCCATTCGGATTCTCAAGGATATAAGATAGGGACACTTTCCTCCCTCCTGATCTTTTAGTCGGGGAACTTTCTGGGTTGTTATCTACAACCTTATCTTTTCTACATCGTAGCTTCACTCCTGTTCCTCCACCTGACACTACTCATCATCATATCTTATCGAGAAACTCTTCTCGATCCTGTGTCTTCGTATTCCTGTCAAACGCGACTCTTCATTTCTATCTCACTCAAGTACATTCCCTTCCATATCGACCACTCGCCGACCCTTGACCTGTACTTCCCTTCCTTCTCGACTTCCCGCCGAATCCTTCAAATCGCACTAGGTCAATTACACCATCGTAGGTTCTCAGACTTGACATTTCTCTCTCAAAACTGATCAAGACATTAACAACAGCTCTCTTCATTGTATCTCAGTCTTCTTTTGTATTGTGTTACTCTCTCTGCTGTTTTTTCCTTCTTCATCGCTCTCTTGTTGTTTGCCTTAAGGTTAGGAGTCTTTTTTGTTTCATATATTTCTTATTGTATCTTGTTATCGTATCATGATACTTACATTAGAAATATATTCTTAAGATTGTTCATTCACAGATGGCGAGATACATGGCCAGCACAGTTTGATGATGTGAGTACAGCAGATAAGCTATCCCCGTGCCTCTTTTTCAATCTGCAGTAAGCGACAATCTCAGTTTGGGCAGTACATATGCCTTCAGTAGCACAGCATGATAACTGTTAACACCCAAAAACGGACCTTCCAACCAAATCTTGACCGGTTGGGTGAACATGTTGGAGAGATGACAGGAATGATCTGGTGACAAGAACTGTGAACTTATCTCACTGATCGTGGCATATTTGCAGGAATCTGGTGTTTTGGGAGGCACTCTTCCCAGTTGACTCAACAGATCGTTTGGTTTTTAAATATTTTTATTTCTGTAGCACACAATTCCAAGCTAAAAAACAAGAAAGATTACAAAGTTTTCAGGTGTTCTGTTTAGTTATTACTAACATCGTTGGTATTCTAGATGAAAAACAAGGGGAGGGACATTCCCACATTACCAATGCAAATAGAATTACTTC